ACATATCCCCAGTTCCCCTTAGCCTAAGTGAATGTGTGTCAGTCTGAATTGACGCTGTTTGGTATCACAACGCTGTTATGAAAGTTTCTCTGGTATAAAATGGGTGATGTTGGCATAGCAACCGAAGCTAAACTGACTACTTGCTATTGCTATCCTATTGTGGCATAAACCGTTTTCTACAGGCACATTTACCGGCGTATTTGTATTATGATTCTACTTGTGATAGTCGGACACGACAACCTGTGCAGCCCATGTATTGATTCCATCCGATAGCTGCTATAATACAAAACAACACGTCTGCCTCTCTCCACAATGATCAATAACAGTGAACGGATGGTCAAAGTAAGGTACAAATAAACAGAATCACACGAAGCCTGGTTAGTGTTGCCTGACTTTATAAAGTGTGTTTATAAGCACTACTGCTTGAAGGCAGGCATGACAGTCGACTCATGTTCAGGGGAGGAGGGTTTAGTTTCCTGCAAGCCTCGACGTAAGAGAGACGTAAGCGACGCCACCTCTTAGCTCCGAAGCTCTTGCCTCTAGACCGACAATTTTTTGGAGCTGGAAGTGAACCCGATTCCGGAGCTAAGAGCCGGCGCGGCTGCGGGTGTGAACAGGAAAAACCGGCGCTTTTCAGGCTCCAGCTCCGAGCCGGAGCTGAAAAAACGCTTGTGTGAAAGGGGCATCTGAGTCCTGACTCCATCAAAGCTCCAGCTCTCCTCGTCTCTCTGAGTCCTGACTCCATCAGAGCTCCAGCTCTCCTCGTGCCTCTCTGAGTCCTGACTCCATCAGAGCTCCAGCTCTCCTCGTGCCTCTCTGAGTCCTGACTCCATCAAAGCTCCAGCTCTCCTCGTGTCTCTGAGTCCTGACTCCATCAGAGCTCCAGCTCTCCTCGTCTCTCTGAGTTCTAACTCCATCAAAGCTCCAGCTCTCCTCGTGTCTCTGACTCCATCAAAGCTCCAGCTCTCCTCGTCTCTCTGAGTCCTGACTCCATCAAAGCTCCAGCTCTCCTCGTCTCTCTGAGTCCTGACTCCATCAAAGCTCCAGCTCTCCTCGTCTCTCTGAGTCCTGACTCCATCAAAGCTCCAGCTCTCCTCGTGTCTCTGAGTCCTGACTCCATCAAAGCTCCAGCTCTCCTCGTCTCTCTGGAGTCCTGACTCCATCAAAGCTCCAGCTCTCCTCGTGTCTCTGACTCCATCAAAGCTCCAGCTCTCCTCGTCTCTCTGAGTCCTGACTCCATCAAAGCTCCAGCTCTCCTCGTCTCTCTGAGTTCTAACTCCATCAAAGCTCCAGCTCTCCTCGTGTCTCTGACTCCATCAAAGCTCCAGCTCTCCTCGTGTCTCTCTGAGTCCTGACTCCATCAAAGCTCCAGCTCTCCTCGTGTCTCTCTGAGTCCTGACTCCATCAAAGCTCCAGCTCTCCTCGTCTCTCTGAGTCCTGACTCCATCAAAGCTCCAGCTCTCCTCGTGTCTCTGAGTCCTGACTCCATCAAAGCTCCAGCTCTCCTTGTGTCTCTCTGAGTCCTGACTCCATCAAAGCTCCAGCTCTCCTCGTCTCTCTGAGTCCTGACTCCATCAGAGCTCCAGCTCTCCTCGTGTCTCTCTGAGTCCTGACTCCATCAGAGCTCCAGCTCTCCTTGTGTCTCTCTGAGTCCTGACTCCATCAAAGCTCCAGCTCTCCTCGTCTCTCTGAGTCCTGACTCCATCAAAAGCTCCAGCTCTCCTCGTGTCTCTTGAGTCCTGACTCCATCAAAGCTCCAGCTCTCCTCGTGTCTCTCTGAGTCCTGACTCCATCAAAGCTCCAGCTCTCCTCGTGTCTCTGAGTCCTGACTCCATCAAAGCTCCAGCTCTCCTCGTGTCTCTGAGTCCTGACTCCATCAAAGCTCCAGCTCTCCTCGTGTCTCTGAGTCCTGACTCCATCAAAGCTCCAGCTCTCCTCGTGTCTCTCTGAGTCCTGACTCCATCAAAGCTCCAGCTCTCCTCGTGTCTCTCTGAGTCCTGACTCCATCAGAGCTCCAGCTCTCCTTGTGTCTCTCTGAGTCCTGACTCCATCAAAGCTCCAGCTCTCCTCGTGTCTCTGAGTCCTGACTCCATCAGAGCTCCAGCTCTCCTCGTGTCTCTGAGTCCTGACTCCATCAAAGCTCCAGCTCTCCTCGTGTCTCTCTGAGTCCTGACTCCATCAAAGCTCCAGCTCTCCTCGTGTCTCTCTGAGTCCTTACTCCATCAAAGCTCCAGTTCTCCTCGTGTCTCTCTGAGTCCTGACTCCATCAGAGCTCCAGCTCTCCTCGTGTCTCTCTGAGTCCTGACTCCATCAAAGCTCCAGCTCTCCTCGTGTCTTTCTGAGTCCTTACTCCATCAAAGCTCCAGCTCTCCTCGTGTCTCTCTGAGTCCTGACTCCATCAAAGCTCCAGCTCTCCTCATGTCTCTCTGAGTCCTGACTCCTGTTGCTTCAGAAGTTTCCCCCACAAATAGCATCGCTCATCACATTCTGACTTTAGAGTAACAACAAGGACGTTTGGACCCATTTGAACAAATCTACAAAGTTATTCGTGCTGGAAATGTTCAGGTTGCTTCTGTGGTTAGAGGACAGGGAACAGGAGAGAGAAACACTCGTTTGTACCTGATATTCTGCCCCAGATCTATCAAATACTGTGTTAAAGTCACGAAGCAGGATGCTGCTGCTCTTTGTCGGACTATATGGGGCATCAGATTCACTCTTTAAACCCGAGAGACACGTGCAATCTTTCTTTCTTACAATTCAGCAAATGGCTTCTGCCTGCAATGGAGAACGATGTCATGCACAGCGAGATGAGATGCATTCAATAGACCTATCGCTAAACCACGCCCCAAATACAATTTGTCCAATCATATCACAGCGAAAATCCCTCCTGGCAGAAAACTCGGACATCACCAGAAAAGCCGTTTGTGGGGCGCATCAAACCAAAACCAGACGTCTGTGATCGAAACCACTGTGAAGAGTTCAGTTTCTATGTTTATTATCTAGCTAATATCTGATGGTGAAACGCTGTGCGTGGGGTACCTGTAATTCGGACACCAGGTCCTGAAAGACTGGATGGAGGAGTATATGTCGTACCTTTTCCGAAGCCCAAAAGAAAACTCGACAAATGCAAGCGGTGGATTATGCTGTGTCGTCGACCACATACACAACTGAATGTGAAGACAATTACCAAGGACACTTATGTTTGCTCAAAGGTAAGGTCAATTCATAAAGACATAATATTTGACGGCATGTATTAGAAACGTAGACCAAACTATTAGTTTGCTAACGATTGACTTTGACTGCCAACTAGCTAGCGTATATCCAGCCCAGCTAGCTAACGTTAGCTGCCAACTTGTTAGCCAGCTAACTAGCTACAGTGTTATCAACATCAACGTTTGCTGTCTGACTTTTCGTCCTCGCTAGTTAGCTGGTGTTTTTAGCTAACTTTTGCTAACTGTCTTTTCACCTCAAAGCACTTCAGAGATGGGAAGCCAACTCTGGAATATCCAGATCCCATCCGGGCTCTCGTGTGTGCTGCTCCGAAAAGACACAGACCCTCACCCAAACAAAGGTAACTTTACAGTCAGCCAGGTGCATAACAGTGAACATGATGACCAACAAGGACAGTTATAGTTATAGATTTAATGTAGTGACCACCACTGCTAACATTCAACATCATATTATCATTTCAATGGTTACACAACAGTCACCACTACACACGACAGGCAACAAGATTAGATATTTTATATTAAGAAATACATGGCTACCTTTTTACTCTTGCTTTTAACTGTTAACTTTCATCTGCTCTTGCTTCTATTTTAATGTTATTTTAACTTGAACTCCCCCCGCGGCCATTATCAACGGTCATTCACGGTCGGCTTTGTTTGTCCGAGTTTTCAAAGGGGGCGTGGCTTAGCGATAGGTCGAAGCTAAAGGCATGGAAGTACATGACATACAATACAGAGACAATATTTAAGCGCTTTGAGCACCAGGAAAAGCTTTATATGTTTCACACCGCATCCTCTACAAACTCCTGGTCCTCACTTACAAAGCACTCCACCATCTGGCCCCCCCCTACCTCACTGACCTCCTCATCCTCTACCATCCACCCCGGACCCTCAGATCCACCTCAGCCGGTTTGCTTTCCATCCCCAAGGCCAAACTCCGGAGCTTCAGGGACAGAGCCTTCTCTGTGGCAGCCCCGAAGCTCTGGAACTCCCTCCCCCAAGACCTCCGTGAGTCTGAGTCCCTCACCCTGTTCCGGTCCCGCCTCAAAACCCACCTCTTCAACTCTGTATCCATAAGCCCCCCCCCCTCTCAACCAACTTCCTCCTGACTGCTTTTCTGTTGTGTTTTGTTTCTTTTTGGCTTTGTCTCTGTGTTGTTTGTCTACCCTCCCAAATGTAAAGCTAACGATTGACTTTGACTAAAAAAAGCGTCTTTGGGTTCAAGAAAAGCGCTATAGAAATAACATATATTATTATTATTATAAATAACATGCATTATAATTATTATTAATACATAAAGAGGTAAATGTGTAAAATAGTGAACCTTCATTATAAGAAACAGAATAAAAGCATTATCAACATGAGATCATTGATTATAAAAGCCGACAGAAACCATAAAACGTGCATAAAGTACCGGCTACCAGAAATGGACTTTTTTGTTATTTTTGCATTATTTGGTTGAAACAGCGCTAATTAGGATAATTTAAAATACCTTAGACTTGGTTGTAATCTTCCACAAGTGGTGATTTGGTGACGTGATGATGCAAAGTCTTTATAGACCTTTCATTGTGAAGAGACAATGTGGGGTTTGTTAAATCTAACATATTTAGTGATGAGGAGGATAAATATACAGCTTTATTTATTTAGAAATGCTGCATTGATTAAGATCATGTACTTGTTGTTTTTTGTCCGGGTCCTTGCTAGTCCACACTCCATCCAGCAGGTGGCGGTAATGCACCTCTAACGCTTGTTTCCACCCCTTCATTAAATCCGAAGAAGAAGAAGAATCCTTAGTGCGCATGTCTGTTCTGTCGGAGGATAAACAAACAGGATCCAGGTGATAAATAAAGACTCACCCTCAGCAGGTACATCTCTAACTGTAACCTCATTAAACACTAAGGGGCTTTAACTCCTCCTGGACTCGAGTCTGTATATTAAAACCGCGAGCTAGCTGATGTTAGCAACAGCTAATGCTAACCAGTTTGGAGTTTGTTAGCTCGAAGCTAACTGCTGTTTTCTGACAACAACACTAACGTGTATTGTGTTATTGTGTAACATTTGAGACTCTGTCTGTAGTTGAATTCCCGACACATGAGCTGCTAACGTATATTTAACTATAATGTAACCTCATATCTGTATATCTGAAGCTGTACCGGAGTTTAAATCACGTTGTTTGTTTTAGTTTTTTCTACCATTCCTGCTGTAAATACATGTTTATTCTGAGCTGTTTTCTGATTATCCCCGTGAATATTCTCATGTCTTCTCTCTGTGTGTTTCTGTCTTATCCTGTTGCTGTTTTAACTCCTGATGTATATGAATAAAGCTCCATCTTATCTCAGCTGTTAGGCCGTTAGCTCCAGGTTAAAGTGCACAGTGCTAAATGCTACTGTTCAGAGGGGATTAACTGAGTTGTAGCTAACAAGCTAACTGACAGCTAGTTGTAGCTAACAAGCTAACTGACAGCCACAACACAGAGCCAGCCAATCAGAGCAGACCTGAGCATCAGCAGTATATTTCCCTTGAAACATTCATTTCACTTATTTTTCACATTTAGAATTTTGCCCAGAGCTTTTAAACTTTCTTCCCAGAATCAGGACTTTTTTTTAAATTAGAAAAAAAAATCATAATTTCATTTTTTCCCTTTTTAATTTGACTTTTTCTCACATTATGACTTTTTTCCAAAATGTTTTACCAGAATTAAGATTTTTTTCAAAAATAATTTAGAGTTTTTATTTGCAAAATGTTCTTCCTTACAATACAACATTTTTTCCTAAAATGTTTTCCTTATATTTCACTTTTTTTTATAATTTTATATTTTTTCCTTCGAAATTGACTTTTTCTCAGATTATGGCTTTTTTTCCAAAATGTCTTATTTGGTTAAAAATTTCATTTTTTTCTTATATTTCAGATTTATGACAGAACTTTTGCTTTTTCTCTCAGATAGTGACTTTCCTCGTAATTTGACTTATTTTTCAAAATGAGAATTTTTACAGATTTTAGATTTTTTTCTCAGAATTTCATTTTTTTTAAGAATTCTACACATTTTGAAAAATAAGTCAAATTCTAAGGAAAAAGTGAAATTTGAGAAAAAAAGTGAACTTTGAGAAAGATTTTTAAATTGTAAGGAAGAACATTTTGCAAATATGTCATTTCTCAAGATGTCACTTTTTACTCTGAATTAAGATTTTTTTTTTCATAATTTGACTTTTCCCCAGTGACCTCATCTCTGCACCTGTTGGTGTTTGACTCGCAGTGTTTGTGTTTGCAGATGTGAGGATGGGGAAGTCTTTCTCTCTCCTCACGAAGCAGCCCGATGAGGGTCAGGACAGCATGGCGTCTCCTCTGGAGGAAGAGGAGGAGGAGAAGGTGGGAGACATCTCTGCGTTCCCGTACGTTGAGTTCACGGGACGGGACAGCGTCACGTGTCCCTCCTGCCAGGGAACCGGACGCATCCCCAGAGGTAACACACCTTTACTGACTTCTTAAAGGTCTCCTATCATGCAAAATGCACTTTTTGATGTCTTTTCTACATCAATGTGTCCCCCGTGTGTCCCCGGTGTGTGTCCCCGGTGTGTGTCCCCGGTGTGTGTCCCCGGTGTCCCCCCCCGGTGTGTCAGGAGACTCACTAAGTGATGTCTCCTCTACATCACCATGTTTCCCCAGTGTCCCCCCGGTGTGTCAGGAGACTCACTAAGTGATGTCTCCTCTACATCACCATGTTTCCCCAGTGTGTCCCCGGTGTGTCAGGAGACTCACTAAGTGATGTCTCCTCTACATCACCATGTGTCCCCGGTGTGTCCCCGGTGTGTCAGGAGACTCTCAAAGTGTCAGGAAATAAACCCCTCTCTTCTCCTCCGTACCCACATCTCTAAAAACGGGGGAGCAACGGAGCTGACCCAGATTTGCTGCGTCATGACCTAATATCAAAACACTTCATAGACATGTTACGTTCCCTCCTAAACTCGGGGTACCAAGGGAAGCAACAACATATACAAATGAGCGGGAGGAAAGAAGAAGACACACTTTATTAATCCACTGGCAAAATTAGTAGATGATGTTTATTTGTTAAAATAATGAAGAGGGCTCACCAGCCAATTTACACGTTTAAATAATGACAAACAAAAACAGCTTTCTTATAAAAGAAAACACGATCTGCCAAATTAGATTCAAGTCAGAAAGTAAAAAGACTGAATCAGAGGTCCAGGTATTCCCACTAACAGCTGAGCAGAGGTGGGAAGTATATACAAATACTTCGTTACTGTACTTAAGTACATGTTTCTGGTATCAGTACTTTACTCCACTACGTACTTTCTACTTCTCACATGTTGAACTCAAATACCTGTACTTTCTACTTCTCACATGTTGAACTCAAATACCTGTACTTTCTACTTCTTACATGTTGAACCCAAATACCTGTACTTTCTACTTCTTACATGTTGAACTCAAATACCTGTACTTTCTACTTCTTACATGTTGAACTCAAATACCTGTACTTTCTACTTCTTACATGTTGAACTCAAATACCTGTACTTTCTACTTCTTACATGTTGAACTCAATACCTGTACTTTCTACTTCTTACATGTTGAACTCAAATACCTGTACTTTCTACTTCTCACATGTTGAACACAAATACCTGTACTTTCTACTTCTTATGTGTTGAACACAAATACCTGTACTTTCTACTTCTCACATGTTGAACACAAATACCTGTACTTTCTACTTCTTACATGTTGAACTCAAATACCTGTACTTTCTACTTCTTACATGTTGAACTCAAATACCTGTACTTTCTACTTCTCACATGTTGAACACAAATACCTGTACTTTCTACTTCTTACATGTTGACTCAAATACCTGTACTTTCTACTTCTTACATGTTGAACTCAAATACCTGTACTTTCTACTTCTTACATGTTGAACTCAAATACCTGTACTTTCTACTTCTTACATGTTGAACTCAAATACCTGTACTTTCTACTTCTCACATGTTGAACCTCAATACCTGTACTTTCTACTTCTTACATGTTGAACTCAAATACCTGTACTTTCTACTTCTTACACTTTAAACTCAAATACCTGTACTTTCTACTTCTTACATGTTGAACTCAAATACCTGTACTTTCTACTTCTTACATGTTGAACACAAATACCTGTACTTTCTACTTCTTACATGTTGAACCCAAATACCTGTACTTTCTACTTCTTACATGTTGAACCCAAATACCTGTACTTGATACTTCTTACATGTTGAACCCAAATACCTGTACTTTATACTTCTTACATGTTGAACACAAATACCTGTACTTTCTACTTCTTACATGTTGAACCCAAATACCTGTACTTTCTACTTCTTATATGTTGAACACAAATACCTGTACTTTCTACTTCTTACATGTTGAACACAAATACCTGTACTTTATACTTCTTACATGTTGAACACAAATACCTGTACTTTCTACTTCTTACATGTTGAACACAAATACCTGTACTTTCTACCTCTCACATGTTGAACACAAAATACCTGTACTTTCTACTTATCTACAACATGTTAGTGACACAAATACCTTGTACTTCCTACTTCTTAACATGTTGAACAACAAATACCTGTACTTTATTCTACTTCCTTACAATGTTGAAACACCAATAACTGTACGTTCTACTGCTTACATGTTGAACACAAATACGGGAAACCTGTACTTTCTACTTCTTACATGTTGAACTCAAATACCTGTACTTTCTACTTCTTACATGTTGAACACAAATACCTGTACTTTCTACTTCTTACATGTTGAACCAAATACCTGTACTTTCTACTTCTTACATGTTGAACACAAATACCTGTACTTTCTACTTCTTACATGTTGAACACAAATACCTGTACTTTCTACTTCTTACATGTTGAACACAAATACCTGTACTTTCTACTTCTTACATGTTGAACCCAAATACCTGTACTTTCTACTTCTTACATGTTGAACCAACTACCTGTACTTTCTTCTACTTCTTACATGTTGAACCAAATACCTGTACTTTCTACTTCTTACATGTTGAACCAAATACCTGTACTTTCTACTTCTTACATGTTGAACTCAAATACCTGTACTTTATACTTCTTACATGTTGAACACAAATACCTGTACTTTCTACTTCTTACATGTTGAACACAATACCTGTACTTTCTACTTCTTACATGTTGAACTCAAATACCTGTACTTTCTACTTCTTACATGTTGAACTCAAATACCTGTACTTTCTACTTCTTACATGTTGAACTCAAATACCTGTACTTTCTACTTCTTACATGTTGAACTCAAATACCTGTACTTTCTACTTCTTACATGTTGAACTCAAATACCTGTACTTTCTACTTCTTACATGTTGAACACAAATACCTGTACTTTCTACTTCTTACATGTTGAACCAAATGTACTTTCTACTTCTTACATGTTGAACTCAAATACCTGTACTTTCTACTTCTTACATGTTGAACTCAAATACCTGTACTTTCTACTTCTTACATGTTGAACACAAATACCTGTACTTTCTACTTCTTACATGTTGAACTCAAATACCTGTACTTTCTACTTCTTACATGTTGAACACAAATACCTGTACTTTCTACTTCTTACATGTTGAACTCAAATACCTGTACTTTCTACTTCTTACATGTTGAACTCAAATACCTGTACTTTCTACTTCTCTCATGTTGAACACAAATACCTGTACTTTCTACTTCTTACATGTTGAACTCAAATACCTGTACTTTCTACTTCTTACATGTTGAACTCAAATACCTGTACTTTCTACTTCTTACATGGTTGAACTCAAATACCTGTACTTTCTACTTCTACATGTTGAACTCAAATACCTGTACTTTCTACTTCTCACATGTTGACCCAAATACCTGTACTTTATACTTCTTACATGTTGAACTCCAAATACCTGTACTTTCTACTTCTTACAATTGTTTGCAACTCAAATACCTGTACTTTCTACTTCTTACATGTTGAACTCAAATACCTGTACTTTATAACTTCTTACATGTGAACACAAATACCTGTACTTTCTACTCTCTACATGTTGAACCCCAATACCTGTACTTTCTACTTCTTACATGTTGAACCCAAAACTGTACCTTTATACTTCTTACATTTGAACCAAAACCTGTACTTTTACTCTTACATGTTGAACCCAAATACCTGTACTTTCTACTTCTTACATGTTGAACTCAAATACCTGTACTTTCTACTTCTTAATGTTTGAACACAATACCTGTACTTTCTACTCTCTTACATGTTGAACACCAAATACCTGTACTTTCTACTTCTTACATGTTGAACCAAATACCTGTACTTTCTACTTCTTACATGTTGAACTCAAATACCTGTACTTTCTACTTCTTACATGTTGAACCAAATACCTGTACTTTCTACTTTCTTACATGTTGAACTCAAATACCTGTACTTTCTACTTCTTACATGTTGAACTCAAATACCTGTACTTTCTACTTCTTACATGTTGAACCAAATACCTGTACTTTCTACTTCTTACATGTTGAACACAAATACCTGTACTTTCTACTTCTTACATGTTGAACCAAATACCTGTACTTTCTACTTCTTACATGTTGAACTCAAATACCTGTACTTTCTACTACTCTTACATGTTGAACCAAATACCTGTACTTTCTACTTCTTACATGTTGAACCAAATACCTGTACTTTCTACTTCTTACATGTTGAACCAAATACCTGTACTTTCTACTTCTTCACATGTTGAACACAAATACCTGTACTTTCTACTTCTTACATGTTGAACACAAATACCTGTACTTCTACTTCTTACATGTTGAACTCAAAATACCTGACTACTTTCTACTTCTTACTGTTGAACTCAAACATACTGTACTTTCTACTTCTTACTGTTGAACTCAAACTACCTGTACTTTATTCTACTTCTTACATGTTTGAACCCAAATACCTGTACTTCTACTTCTTACATGTTGAACTCAAATACCTGTACTTTATACTTCTTACAGTGTTGAACACAAATACCTGTACTTTCTACTTCTACATGTTGAACCCAAATACCTGTACTTTCTACTTCTTACATGTTGAACTCAAATACCTGTACTTTCTACTTCTCAACATGTTGAACTCAAATACCTGTACTTTCTACTTCTCACATGTTGAACACAAATACCTGTACTTTCTACTTCTTACATGTTGAACTCAAATACCTGTACTTTCTACTTCTTACATGTTGAACACAATACCTGTACTTTCTACTTCTTACATGTTGAACTCAAATACCTGTACTTTCTACTTCTTACATGTTGAACTCAATACCTGTTACTTTCTACATTCTCTCATCGTTGAACACAAATACCTTGTACTTTCTACTGTCTTACATGTTGAACTCAACTACCTGTACTGCTTTCTACTTCTTACATGTTGATG